CGTCCAGGCTGAGCACTGTGCTCCAGCCATGTCTTCCACAGCCCAACTGACATTCTTGCTAGGAAATTTTCCCCTATGTGTCACCTCCAATGGAGCTGTGCTACGTTTGAGCCTCTTGCTGGCTCACCTGTCCTGGCACTGCCCTGAACGCTCAGCTGTGACTGGCCATGCTGCTTGCCCACATACATGGCACGGCCCAGGCAGGGATCAGCCTTCCAGTGTTTCGCTGCTCCCTCTGCATGGGATGGAGCTTCTGCTGTCTCCCCACCATGCTGACCTGCGCCATCCCCTCCCCACACTGGTTCCTCTCCCTCCTGCTGGGTGGTATCTGCCTCAGCCTACCACAGTGCCCGGCTCAGCTCTCCTGGGCAGCACAGAGGGATGCCGGTGGGCATGAGGGAGGCCTTATGCCCCACGGTGCCCATGCACAGGTCACAGTGCCGAGCAACCTCCTGCCAGCAGGCAAAGTGCAGGCAGGGGCCAGACCTGCCACACTGAGCTGCCAATTTGGCCTTGGTGGCTGGTCCCCTGCTTCAAGTGGGACTCCCCTCTGCACCCCAACACCCTCCTGCCAAGCTGCCCCGCAGCCTGAAGCATTGGGCAGTATCTGGCAGCACCTCCAGTGGCTCCCACCTCTCCTGGCTGGCTGGCCAGCTGTGTTGCCAGCTGTGCCACCAGCCAGCACCACTCCTTGGCCAACTCTTTCCCACTGTGACTGCAGCAGGGACACTACCTGCACTGCCTGCGCCTGGCAGCGGCAGAGTAGCTGCTCCTCCAGGGCCTCTTGCCTGCAGAGGAGAGGAGGAGGAAAGGGAAGGGGAAGGGGAAGAAAGAAGGGGAAAGATGAATAGGAAAGGAAGAAGGGGAAAGGGGGATGGGAAAGAAGAAAGAGGAAGGGAGAGGAAGGAAGGGGAAGGGGGAAGGAGGAAGGAGGAAGGGAAAATGGGAAAGAAAAAGGGGAAAGGAGAAAAGGGAAAGGGAAGGGGTAAGGAGACGGGAGAGGGGGAATGAGAAAGAGAAAAGGGGAAGGAAAAAGGAAAGGGGGAAGGAGGAAATGAGGAGAGGGGAAAGGAGAAAAGGAAAAGGGAAAAGGGGAAGGAGGCAGAAGAGGAAGAGGAAGAAAGAAGGGGAAAGAGAAGGGGAAAGAGAAAGAGGAAGGAATAACATGAAGGAGATAAGAGTAAGGAGGGAGGAAAAGAGGGAAGGAGGAAGGGGAAAAGAGGATGGAGGATGGGGAAAGGGGAAGACCCCAGCCTGTGGGAAGGGGCAGAGGGCAACATTTTGCAGCACTCATCTCTCAGTGGTGGCACCCAGAGATCCGCAGAGTGCAGGTGCCAAAGGCAGTGAGGCACTGGGGGGATCACATCGCACACGCTCCTCTTGGTGCCAGAACTCTGGCAGCGATGAGAGCAGGATGCCAGGGTCATGCTGTGGGGTCAGTCAGCACCCTACCAAGGAGGGCATAGCTCCGCCTCCAGAACCAAGCTGCCCAGGAGGACTGCCTCATCTTCCTAACCCCCAGCCTTACCTTCCCATAGTACTGCTCCTGCTCACAGTTCAGTTCCCCGTGGCCTCCTCCAGCACCCCTGTCAGGCGCTGGCTGAAGGACTGTCCTGGGTGCTGTCACAGCAGGGACTCTAGTGGTGACAAAGTGATGCTCCTAGGGCATGCAATGGCCCTGCCAGCAGTGAGCCACGCTCCACCACCTCTAGAAAATTGGTGGCCTGCATCTCTCTGCCCTCTTTTCCCCACATCAGGCTCTAGAGAGGTTGTCTCTTCTGCCTGGCTTGGGCTCAGTGACCTCTGGGATGAGCCCAGACCCCTCCGATGAGGAGAGTGAAGCCCCCAGGAGCTCTGCTTTGGCACCAGGGAGTCCTGCTGCTCTCAGTTCCTCTCCAGGACACCAGCCAGCTTGTCCTCCCCGAGTGATGGAGGAGGGCAAGACCAAGCTGCACATTCAGCTCTGGCTGGGATGGTGGTCAGTATGGGGGACTGAGTGCTTCCTGCTCAGGTGAGGTGAAACCAGGAGTGTGGGGCTCGGGTAAGGAGGCACAGAGCTTCTTGTCTGGTGTCAGTGGTTTAAAATGCAGCTAGGGCTCCCCGGCCCCGGGCATCCCCAGCCTTCAGGCGGTGAGGACCCTGGTGCTGGCTCGTGCTCACCTCCATGGCTCGTACTGCAGGTGCACGAGGATGCTTTGCAGGTTGAAGATCTGTCCCTGCTCCCTCTTGGAAGGCAGCCAGGGCTCCCTGGAGCTCAGCTGGTGGAAGGACAGACGGCCATGAGGGACAGACCCCTGTGAGGAGAGTGGGTTCTTAGTCACGTGGGACTGAAGGAGGCATGAGGACGAACTGGAAACAATGCCAGGGAGATGTGGAAACTTTGTCTGGGGTATATAAAAGGACAATAAAAAGCCTGAGCCACAGGAAGTGGGAGGACCGGCCGTGAGCCCCGTGTCTCTCCCCTCCCCAGGCAAGGTTCCAGGGGCCCCACGCTCAGCTGTGACCCTCTTCCCACACAGGTTCCTGCTGTCACAGAGTTCCCGCAGGAGCTTCCCCCTCCCTCTACTGATCTGACCAAGTAATGGAGCCTGGGGTTATTGAGCCGTGCCGTCCTGTGGAGAGTCCTGCCTTCCATCCACAGACTATAATTATTAAGAGCTCTGGCTCAGGGCCAGCGAAGCCAGGGAACCTGCCCCGAGGAGGGCATGCCATGCATCTCCCTCTCCAGGATTTGTGGGAGATGCTGGAGGACTGAAGGCAGGTGTAAGGGTACAGGCAGAAAGGCTGTGCGGAAACGACAGCCAGCCTCTGCCCCATTGTGGCCGTTGCTGTCCTAACTCCGTGCAGCCCGGGGCGTGATCCTGTCCCAGGGAGCCCTCCGGAGGTGGAAGGTGACCAAGACCTCCCTCAGATCTGAGCAGGGGACCAAAGCTCACCCCTTGACTCGGGCAGCATCTGCTCCTCCTGGCGGCAGCCAGGCTGAGCGTCGCCGCCTCCGGCGCCACGGCTGGCTCCCAGCGGTTTTGGGCCCGAAAGCACCAGTTTGCCGGTCCCTCCGTGGCG